TCTGCCTCTGTTCTAAGCAGCTGCAGGCAATACCTCTATAAATTGTTAATCATTCGGCAGAAGCTGAATTAGCTGAAACAAATATAGGGGGAGAAAGGATCCTTTTTCTTTATTAGTTCAGACTCCTGAAAGCAAGCAATTTTTGCCAAATTCTCTGAGGTAGTAAAATAGCTGATCATCAGACTTTGTCTAGTGCCAAGTCCTCAAGCTTAACAGCTTATTTACACCTTTCAATATTATCTAGTGTTTTCTTTCAAGTGATTTCAAATACTACCAATGTTGTGTTGTCTTATTCTTATTACATAATATAGCTTACATGAGTATTTTGTATTATTATTTATTCATAATGGCCATTTTGCATTTTTCATCTGACATACTGGTTTTTGKTTTTTTTTTCTTTTTTATTAGCTCTTTTTAATAGACTTCAGTGTATCCATACCAGTCAGTATTGTTTTTCCCCTTAATATCAGTTATACCAAAAAAAWGTATACAATGCAAGGAAAGGTGAACTTGTTCAGTAGATTAATATTTTTAAACTCTAATTTAAAATTGAGTGTTGAATTCACTGTTTTGATAGAAGTGTCAAACTTTCATGTTGAGTGCATTATTTTTAATTTCAGTTTCAGTTTTAGTTTACTATTTTGCTTAGACGAGAAATACTACCAAAATAAACTAAATTCCATACCGTTTCAGGGGAAGAAAAAAAAGGAGTTCACGTCTTCATGATGAATCTGTTTTGTTCAAAGATGTTTCCTGAGACCAGTTTTGTCTACACATTCTTGCATCTGGAAGACTATTTGTGCTAGCTTGCCAGTTGCAAAAAGCTAGGATGAGACTGATATATATATATAAAGGGTTTTCTTTGTTCTGTTGATTTGTTGGGTCCCAATTCTCCAAACACTCTCCATTCTTAGTCATTTTACTTCTGAGAGCAATGACAAAGGAGTTAGTCACATGTATGAGTGCTGGCAAGACAGAGCTTAACTGTGTTAAATGCAGCTGATTATCAATATAGTAAAGAGGAGCACATCCTCTGTATTTATTACTAAAACATTTTAATCAGCTGGATGGAGGCATGATCCATTAGTAAGAAATGCATGAAAGAGAGATGTAAAAAGTATGCTCATGAAATACGGTAACAGCTCATATCTCTGCTCTTGTTTTATTACAATTTGTAAGCACTTTGATTTTGCATTCCACTGGGTAAAGGTAGACTTGATTTCATTGAGCACGGATATAAAAAAAATTCCTTGCATGATTAAAGAGATTATTATTCCATCCTTTGACGTAGATGAGACTGCACCTGGAATACTTGTAGTCAGGCTTTGAGGCTTCCCAGCTGCAGAAGCACATGGAAGGATTGGAGTGGGTGCTGAGATGGGTAGAAACTAAAGCACGTGGCCTGCAAAGAGGGAGACTGAAGGAGATGGGATCATTTTATCTGGTGAAGTGCAGATGATCCCCTCAGCAGACTATGGCTCTTTGAAGAGGAATTACAGCGATGATGGAGCCAAACTCTTTTTGGCACAGCTGGATGATAGCAAGGGAGAAAGGTCAGGAACTGCAGACTGGGAGATTCAAGTTGGAGGTCAAGCAGCTGGTATTAAGGGAATGGAACATCTCTCATATGAAGAGAGACTGAGGGAATTGGGCCTGTTTTCTCTGGAGAAGAGAAGGCTGAGAGGGGATCTGATTAACATGTATAAGTTCAGGAAGGGAGAATGAAGGGAAGAAGGGGATAAGCTCTTCTCATTGATGGCCAGMGATAGGACAAGGGGTAATGGGCATAAGCTGAAACACAGGAAGTTCCATCTCCAGGTGAGGAGGAGCTTCTCGACTGTGAGGGTGACAGAGCCCTGGAACAGGCTGCCCAGGGAGGTTGTGGAATCTCCTTCTCTGGAGGTCTTCAAAACCCGCCTGGATGCCACCCTGTGCCACATGCTCTATGTGGCCCTGCTTGAGCAGGAAGGTTGGACTAGATGATCTCTAGAGGTCCCTTCCAACCCTGAATATTGTGTGATTCTGTGATTCTGAGCTGTGCTGGCAGTAGCACTGCTTTGAGGAGGCCATTGGACTAGATGACCTTCAGAGGTCCCTTCCAATGGAAACATTATGTTGCTATGAATGTTGTGAAGTATAGCCTCAGTCCAAGGCCTCTCACAATAGACAGCAGTGAGTGCTTACAAAAGCTACTTATTTCATGTCTTAACCTTCTAAAGCAGGTTAAGTGTCTTCTTTCTTACCTTGACTAATGAGTCTCGAATGACTAGCCCGGTTATGCACTGGTTGTGCTGAGACATATGACCCTAGGCTATATGCCCTCCCCACTCAGTAATGACATTTCAACTGAAGAAGCTGTAGCTTTTCACACTGTTGCACTGTTCCTGATTGTTGTCAGATGGCCCCAGAACAGAAACTTAAATAAGACTGAAATGAGAAGTTCCACATTAACGGAGGTTTGGTGCCAGTTCCCAGAGAAACCTTCATGCCAAGCTGCAGAAACTGCCTTCCAGAGTGAAGAAATTGAAGCAAGTTTCTTATGGATTTTTGAGATTTCTATGTTTATTGATGATGTAAATCTACAAATAATGAGCATGTTAAGCATGCTTTATATGGCTAAGAGCTGGAAACGTGGACATACAACCTCCCAACAGTTACTGTGGACCATGCAGGTTGCAATCAACTCCACCATTCCCCCATGGTGTACAAGCATGCCTTTTCCTGACAGCCGCATTAGCAACACCCGCGGGACCTTGTTCTTCTCTCCCCTCACCGTGTGGTGCAGCTGTAGTCCCTGAGCTCTCTCACACACACACACACGCTGTGAGGCTGTGTGGGAGGCAGTGCTCGGTGCTGCCTCCCTKCCACGCTGCCCGTGGGGCAGCAGGAGCTCTGGTGGGTTCATGCAGGACCCATACCTGCCTCTCCCCCAGTACAGCGGCGGGCTGGACACAGTGACCTGCAGACACAGCCGTAGGGGTGAATCACCTGCAACGCTTCCTACGAACAGAGACAAGTGACTGATGTCAGTGACTTCCAGCCTTGGAAGGTCATAAATTGATGAATTCAACCCAGCTCTCCTCATCAGCTCCAAAGGTAGGGGAAGAGGCACCTGTCTGGCCCTTGTGTGGTGGCYCTTAAACACACACCTGAAAGCAACCCTGGAAAGCAGCTGGCAGCCAGGGACAGTTTGCGGAGCTCCCTGGCTTTTTGGATGCTTTCTGGAAGCAGGTTGAGCCCTTATTTCCAGCTCGAGGAGCCCTGGGGGCTGCGGGCTCAGGCACACGGTCCGCGGCAGCGCTGAGAGGGAGCAGCAAAGCAAAATCACCAGCCTGAATAAAAACATAAAAACATAACTTTACTCTTCCATTTCCATCGTGAGCACCATAATCCTTCATAGCGTTAAAAACAATTAACATTTTATATATATATATATATATGTATATATGAAAGCTGTAGAGTTAAGTGTCCATTTAAAAAGTAGGTCACTCTAAGACAGTGTCTCATTTGTATCAAGGAAATACTTGTGTATCACTGGCAACATAAAGGCAGGAAAGGTCAAGCATCTCAGGGGCTGTATTTCATATTCTATGTTTTTGGCATTTCTTTTTCCTCAAAGTCAAGATCGGAGCTTAATTCCGATTTTGTATTTGTCAGTTGAAACTAGATTTCAGCCAACTTCTCAAGTGAATGATTTGCATGTRACTGGACATGTTAAAGTGTTAAGATTTTTGTGCTGAAGTTACATGAAAATGGGTACATATATATATATATGTGGGTGTGTATACATACATTCTTTAGCATCCTCCTTACTGTTGGAGGTATTAGTTTTCAATGAGAGTTAAAATGGAGGTTTTTGAAATTGGAGACATTGGAATGCTCTGTGCTATTTGTCTCCAGTAAGACTAGTTCTAGGATTTCAGGATCTTCTGTTGGTGACTATATTTCCAAGTATTTCGACTGATTGCGGTGTTTTGGTCCTGGCTGACAACGTTGCTCTACAGCTTTACACTAGCTTTACTCAACCTCACTGCTTGGATGCTTTAAAATATTTGCTGTTTGTGTCTAATTTTTGACATGCAAAATAATTGTAATGATGGTTACTGTACATTTAGAGACACCGTTTTTATTATGAAGGAGCTTTAATTTTGTTTTTTCTGTAGCTGGATTATTTTGCAGAGTAATTCAGCAGTCTTGTATTGACTGTTCAAATTAGCTAATTTACCTGAGAGGACTTGAGAGTCTTTTATAGCACATGGGGATTAAAAACCAGTGCAAATACAAGAGGGACATGGAACTTCTAGAAAGGGTCCATCAACAAAGATGATTAAGGGACTGGAGCATCTGTCTTATGAGGAAAGAATAAGTGAGCTGGGCCTGTTYAGCCTGGAGAAGGGAAGATTAAGGGGGGATCTGATCAAGATGTATAAATATCTGAGGGCAGAATGTAAAGAAGGTGGGGTCAAATTCTTCTCGGTAGTGGCCAGTGACAAGGGGCCATGGGTACAAGTTGAAACACAGAAAGTTCCATCTCCATCACCTTTACTGTGAGGATGACAGAGCCCTGGAACAGGCTGCCCAGGGAGGTTGTGGAGTCTCCTTCTTTGGAGGTCTTCCAAACCCGCCTGGATGCCACCTGTGCCCTGTGCTCTGGGTGTCCCTGCTGCAGCAGGGAGGTTGGATTAGATGATCTCAAGAGGTCCCTTCGAACCTTAACCATTGCCTGATTCTTTGAAAAAGTCCTCCCATCTGAATATATTCAATCTGACTCTTTGGACTTTCTAGTTAAACAAATGAAGATTTACATTTTTTTGAAAATTAATTTACAATTACAATTTACAATATTAAAAAACATGTGTCATAATGAAAACTGAATTGCATTTTTCATGCTAATTTGTGTTCTATCAGATTTGTTACATTTGGATGCAATTACTTCCTAGCTTGTGCACGCAGATCTTAAAATACAGAAATAATAATTAATCTTTTCTTTTTCTTTGCAGAGTCACAGTGTACACTCTGTGGGGAGCCTGAAGGTGAGCGTATTTTCCTGTTCATATTTTTTCAAAGCAGCCAGTGCTGAGCACTTGACTCGAATGATACATGTGTACAATAGCTTGGAAACAGTATCACAATGATGCTAACCAATGAAAGACATTCTTCCCTATGTTAGATACCAAAAATGAATTGAATTAAGCTGAGTAAAGCACAGTACATGCTCCAGGCAGAAGGAAATATCTTAAAGGACAAATATTCCATTAGAGCAAAAATGAAGGTATTTATGTCTTATTCTTTTGTGTRTTTGTCAAAATAATTTGGGGTTGAGACAGTGTCAATAGACATTTAAGGACAGCATTTTGAGGATGGAAAATAAAGTAGCTAACTGGACATAAAAAGGAAATGACAAAATGTTTTTATATTTGATTAGATGTCCAAAGTACTGAGAGAGACTAACACTTTTCAGCAGGTGAATAAATCCTAGTTTTGAAATAAGCATAATTAAGCAATAACTGTAATGTAGTGCAAATATATGTCCAAATGAGTGTGGTTCCTTCCCACCCCCAAGTTAATAGCTAAATGTCAAGGTGAGACCCACAATTTACCTAAACAAATGTCAGAGCAATGATGAGATTATGATTTTTGAAGAAGAGCATTATGGAAAAATATCTCTCTTGTGTACTTTTTTTTATGTTGGTGCTGTTTTTTATAGATATATATATATATATAGTATAAAGAAAGGCCCAGGTTTTCAGATCAGCCATCTGGAGTCTTTCTAAGAAAAGTAATCAAAATAGCAAACGCAACTGCTACAGCAAAGTATATTCATTAAAAAAGTATATAGATTCTAAGTTGTTCCCAAAGAGGTTAGTCTGCATACCTTGAATGGTTTCTGAAACACTAATTAAACTTTTAACATTTTTATAAATTTAAGAGGGAGAAGTTGGCAAGAGATGAAGCCTGGAATTAAAAGGCTTTGAGACCTTGCAGCTAATGAAAATATCTTAGTAAATTAAACATCAATTATCTACTTCTCCCTTGTTATTTGCTAACAAATAATTATTTTAGAGGTTTGTTTTGACTTTTCATTCCTTTTATAGACAGTCATTTCTTGATTAGATCTTTTTTGTTGTCTTTTACTTGATAAACTTTGTGATAGCACAGATAAACATAAAAAAAAAAAGGTATTTTTTTGCCTTGCATGAGATACTATTTCCATACCTATTTGCAAACCACTCCRTAATGTTCAGTTTTGAGTTGAGTTGAAATAAATTTGCAGAAATTAAGGTCTCCTGGATCACCAAATCTTCTTCATGGTATTGTTTTGAATGCTAATTACTAATTCTTAGCCTCAAGTTTACACTCTTGACTAATTAGTGACACTAATTTCAAATTAGACTAAAAAAAAAGTCAAAATCAGGACTTTGAGATGAATTTGCAAACTATCAATTGAGGAGAGCGATGCAGTGGTGTAAACCCCTCCATTTATAAAACAAAGTATGTAGATCTGGAGGAAGCTCCGTGACTTGGGAGAGRGAGAGCCAGGGCATCAGCGCTCACCACTTCGGAACCCTTCGGAAGTTGCTGAGGATTGCCCAACTGGACAAAGAAATCCATTTATAGACTAGTCCTCAGCTTCAAGAAGTGTGCGTGTTTTCCACACGTGCTTTGCTCCCCTGAGAGACAGRGTATTCTCTCATTTATTTTACATAGTGAAATACATTTACATATTTTACATAGTGAAAAAGAGCAAATAGAGGAGGGAGATATAAATTGTCAGAACACACATTTCGTCTTTTGGTCATTTATATATTTTGCTTGTGTAAGCTATGGATTGGTAAATAAATGTGTGCCACGTGTTCCCTTGTGCAGCCAGTCTAAGGAAAATGAGCACCTCGCTCTCTGCGTCTCCAGCCAGAGCTGCAAAGGCTCCAGTGTTTGGCTGTAAAAATCATTAGCTTGATCTATGTTATTGGCAAGGATGTTAGCCGCCCTGACTGTCACTGTGACACGCTTGAAGACCGAGAGGCATGTTTTATACTGGGAGGAAATGAAACTTGCAGAAGGCAGAGCTGGTAGTCTCACAAATCCCATTAGAGCAGCTGCTCCGGGCTCCTCCAGCCTCTGGGAACGCGGGAGCAGCAGTGAAGTGTTCTCCGAGATGACAGCAGGCTCCTCTGCGGATGCCYTCCGCAGCTGGCAGATGATGTTGTGGTAAACACTGGGGTTTGTTCCTGCGCTCCTGGTCTGTAATACCACATTACAGACGTATGTCTGACAGGGGCTCTGTGACAGCCCCGTGCTCTGCTGGCGCTGGAGCGRCCGTGAGGTGCTTCCACAACAGGTACTCTCAGCAATCCTCAGGCAGGTCTTGTTTCTCCTCTTCCTGACTCCGGTGAGTTCTTAGCGTGAGTTCTTGAAAGGATTATATTCACTTTTTTGCTAATTTTGCTGAGCAAGTTATTTGGTGGCAGTTAAGATTTCAGTAGGACGCACTGTCCTCTCAGAACCTATAGGAATGGAAGTTTCCAGAATATACATGTTTTCRTAACTCCAATAATAACTTACAGTTTCTGCTTGTGGCTTTTTGTTTCAGGATTTTCTTCAATTACTCTTTCCTTCTTAAAGATATATGACAACCCTGTGCAGTACATGCAATTTCCAACTTTCTGATAAGAAGCCATGCAAAGCACAAGCTTTGCATGGACACACAGATCTGGAAAATGTGGTGTTAAAGAGAAATACCAATGAATGGGGTTCAAGTGATGTTTGGGAAAACAAAAAAAAAAGATGCAATGCACAGTCCAAGTCTTTCTCACATTTCAGTCTACGCCTGTTTCACATAAGAAGTTAATGTTGGTGATAGAACTCGGCTCAGGAACCCTTTGGCAGTCACTGAAAAACAGGGCTGTTTATTACTGGATCCAGGTAAAGCATACTTGTATATTCCAGCTGTGCTTAGACACTATCCCGAAGAATAGGGAGAGCATGTAAAAATGCTGTTCTCCAAGTACCTGCTACTGGCTCTTACAGAGGACGGGACACTGGGAACACTGGCCTTTGATCTGATCTTATGTAGATGTCTTTATGGGCTTAGGTTCTTATTAGTTTGAGATAAAAATTAGTGGCTGTACGGGAAATTTTGTTTGCTTGGGTAGCCATGGGAGGGGAGACCCAGCATGACTTTGCTGTAGGCAGAAACCTTCTCCCACATGACTGTGATCTTGATGGCAATTTCTAGCTTGTTTAGAAATACTCTGAGATGAAAATGAACTTCTCTGTATAGAAGCTTCTAACATGATACAAGTATAATTACCTGAAGGTAATTATACAAGAGCTGTGGAGTAGGCAGTTTTATCTGTTACTCATTCTTTATCTACTATCTCTTGATTTGGAGGTCCATTTACAGACTCTGAAATATGCCTATATTCTTCCACCAGAGCTCTTATGTGACCAAGGTCCTCTCAGTTCCACAGTAATTAGGTCTGACTGTCTATGGAATTGTAAAAGATAATGGTGTGCACAAAGGGTATGAATGACAATACTTCTTTGCTTTACTCAGATCTATATTAACAGCATAGAAAGCAGACTCAAGTTTTATTATGAGCAGTTCAGTGAAGACATTTTGATAATATATAAACAAAACAAATATTAATGTTTGGAGAAATGAGATGGAGAATACAATGCAATGCATTAACATGCCACTTGGGCATATTAGAAATACCCTGAAATACCGAGTCTGAAACWCTGAGTTGAATCCTCACTTCTCCCACTCAGCAGAAAAGAATGTAGCAAAGAGATTAGGGATCTAGAGATATATAACAAATATGCCAAGATATGTGGGGACAATCCCAGATGAATAAGCAATGAGATGGTTTTTTTCCATATAATTTAGAGAAGATCCTAGCAAAAGAAAACAAAATGCACCTCCTGTACATCCATAATAGTCTAATAAATCATGCATACCCATATATCCATTTTCATAATATAGCCGAGCAAATAACTATTCAAAAGCAGTGCAAGTAAAACTGTGAAAAGCACATGCATTTGTGGAATTTGCTGCTGCAATGTGATTTTTGAGATTGACTTCAAATTGGATATTCCTGCAAGCAGTTGGAATGTGCCTCCTGATTTTACATGGGGGAAGTGCATTTATTATCGACACATGTCTTTATGCAAAAGCAATATGACCTTGCTTTTGCTGGTCAAAGAAAGTGCTTCCCTTAGGGGTACATTATTGTTTCATAAACCATTTCTTCATCTTAATTTTTGATTACCTTGTTAGTGACTGTACTCAGAAGCTGAATATCTGACTGGACAAACTGTTAGCCTGGTTGTGGAAATACTCATATATGTTCTATGAAGTAGAAACTCTTAGGAGTTTCTAAGAGTCAGCTTCCAAATAATGAACTGGAAAGATTCCCTCTTTCTTACGTTATCTAGGCAAATAGATCTTGTTGTGCTTGTGTTGTGGGGCAGCTGTGGATCTAAAAAGTCCATTTTGGGGTTGACTGAACTCATTGGTGGTCTGTGGGCATGTGCTCAGGTTTCCAACCAAAAGATCAGGACATATGAAAAGGTGATGAACAGAAGGGTCTTGTCCTGACATGAGAAAAGGGRACAATGTTTGCTCTCATCACCAGGTCAGGGCAGAATAGAACAACTTGCACTGCAGCTGACCGACAACGGACAAAAAGCCAGGTATCTCATGACTGGGAGATGATAGTCTTGGTATTTTTAGTGCCAGTAACCAGACTGACAGCCAGAATTGGGCCTTACAGCTTGCTCCAGTTTGCAGAAACAAACAGTGGAATTAGTGACTGTTTTACTGGTCCTTGCAAAGAATGATGAAGACCTGGGCAAAGGAAGGTTTAAAGACTAGGAGAAAATTTCCTTGCCTTCAGGAAACCATGATCCTACAGCTAAGACTTTTAGTTAAGACTAAACAATCTTTCTGTCAGCCTCTCTGAGGATGCCAGGATCTGTCTGAGCTGGCCATGTGTTTTCTGGTGCTCTCACCCAGCTTTCTGGTCCTTCTCTCTGATGCGTTTTCCTTCAGCAGTGCTAAGCTCATCCAGAGAATTCAGATTCTTCTTCAGGGTCTAAGATATGTTTTGGGCACCTAAGGTTTGAGTTACTGTCTCCCATTATTTCTTACAATTAAGTGGCACAGGAAGTTCTTGCTAGATTGACTGGTTTCAAGCTTGTGATAGGAGCCTTGTAATAGTAACTGCTAGTAAAAGTAGATCAGTAAAATAAGTGTTCCCTGTGAAAGCAGAGTTTAGGAGAGGCCTCTCTCTTGCTGTACGTCAAAGTGGGTTGTTTGAGCGAGTGCATTTATTCTGCATGACACCTCTGCAAACAAGCAAACAAACAATATCCCACAGCCTCTAAGCAGCAGAAGATTAAGATGTATTTGGTGAAGCTGTTCTGTTCCGGGAGGTGTTCGAATCACAAAGAGATATTCTGTCTCACTTTGGTTTTCACTGTTGACTTGAATTTTCAAGCTAGGATGCCAGCATTATTTTGCCTTTCTCTGAAAAGAACTGAGACTGCGTGAGTGGTTTAAGCAGAGCTACAAGGATGGTAGAGAATGAACAATTTCCTAATTGTTCATTCTGTCTATACAAAATTTATGTTAATTAAATATCTAAGGCTTTTTAATATGATTAAAAATGGATGATGGATTTCTTTTTTTTTTTAGTAAAAGAAGATCGAAATATTTTGTAATCTAAATGAATGGTACTATGGAATTGTGTGTGTTTGCTCATGAGATGCATAAAATATTCACTAGAATTTGTGAAATACAAGAACTTTAACTTTTGAATATAAATAATTGACAGCAACAACAAAAACCTYTTTCCTTGAGTAAAATGGCTTTTATAAATAAATAAATGTATGTAAATGTCAATATTAAAGTGGTAGAATTATTTCAGGCACTGACAGCTTCGATGCTCTCTGCGCTTCTGCTTTATATTAATGTATTGGTGTTGGGAGGGCAACAAGTTTGTTTTCTGTTTGTTTCTGGGAGAAAGTTAAAATAAAGAATGTGGACAGTAGTTAGCTCAGAAAAAAACATCTTAAAATCCTTTAGGATATTTATAATATTGATAATGTTCCATCTGGGTAGTTCTGTACTGTCTCCAAATATAAATGTTTCCCTTGGAGAAAGACTATTACATGCATATTAATAACACTAGAGAATTTTGCTAATCTTCCTTTCAATAATCTTAATATGTAGTAATCCRCTTCTAAAATTGGCACTCTTATCTCTACAGCAAAGTTCTATAGTCTTAATTTTGCTTAACTTTAAATTCTCACGCTGTGTTGACTATCAATCAGCATTGATCAAAAGTAGCAGCTGTCTAAGCAAGGAAAGTAGATTTTGTGATGTCTAATCATGATTTTTTTAAAGAAAGAATAACACATCGTGAAAGGTATTTTGCCTAATCTTATTTTTTTCCTTGCTAATTGCAAAATATTTCATAATTGTTTGTTCAAATTAGAAAAACTTCCTTGTTCTGTGTATCGACTAATAAGTAAGTTATATAGATTAGTGTTCCTGCTGKTGCTGTAGCAGTAATTAATCATTATTACTTGGAGCAATTGACATAACACTGTCTTTATTCAGTGCAAAAGATTTTGTGCAAATATAGAACTGGTCTTAATGTGATTTTTGCCTTGATCTGTTTATATGCCCGGTCTTTGGAGGGGAGAAAGGAGGGAGAAAATTTGCATTTGTGTGCCTCCTTGAACTTTATTGCTAATATTTAGTTTCTGCTAAAAGTACAATTTCATATTGATAGTGTGAAACTTTATTCCAAGCAGAGTGCTCCTTAATATATATCTGTTTTATTTTTAATGCATTAGCTACTAATCTCAAAGTGAGGTGATTTGATTTTTTATCTTCATGGAAACTTCCAAACTGCACAGTTTAAGTTGAATAGAAATGTATTGTTGTTGTTTTCCCTTGTGTATCTAGTAGATATTGAACTGTTTTTAACTGTTAGAGCAAATGGAGATATGCAGGTTATGCTACATACTTTTTAAAATAAAATAAGAAAACAAGTTTAAGATAGCAATGGTATCTTAATGGTATCTTAAATTGTATCTTAAAAGATAGCAGTTGATATGCAAGTGTCATGGTTTTTTAATAATGTGTTACAGTATGTTTGTATTCAAATAGTATTAAACAGTGTATTACAATTCTGTTTTCATGTTTCATGCAGTGAGGCACTGAAAGTGATTTATAGTGTGCCTGCCTGTTGAAGATGAGGAGAAGGAATCGATTACACTTGAAATAATTGAAGATTTCAGTGTGAACTCTTATAAGTTGTACAGCTTATATTTGCTATAGTTTGCACACTTCTACTGTTTTATGTGGCTATAGTAGACTGAGTATTCTTCTCAATGTCAGGAATAAATTTGTCCTGAAGTCAGGAGTTGGATATTTAAAGAGCTAGGACTTGTATGAGCAAGTGTGGGATGAGATATTCTCGATTTTAATATGCATTTCTTTCATGGAGCACCCTGTGGTAGTTTTAATAAAAATCTTAAAATTAAAGAAGACTCTCTCAAAGCATATCTTAAAAATGAATACAATTCCTTTCCTTAAAAAAAAAATTTTGCAGGCCTTTACCTGTCATTTRTATGTAGAATGAATTAAACACATTGCTCAGCTATTTCTGTTTCTCATACGTATGGGAAACAGCTGTTCTCAGTTTAGTCATGTACTGATTCACTTTCCTGAGTTGTACAGGGGGAAAAAGAAACAAAAAAAAACAACACAGGGGACTGATTTCATTTTTATTTGGACAAATAGGGTGTAATTTCAACTACAGAAAGTAATGTTCATTAATTCATTTTACATTGTTCTGATTAAAAACAAAGCAAAAACAAGCATAAGAACCATCTCATTTTTTCTTGCTTCAAAATAAATGAATAAGTGAAAAGCTTGTTTGATTTCTGTGGGGGAAGAGCTGGTCTCAAAGGTTATAGTCTGCAAATAATAGAGGTTGCATGAAGAATTAGTAAATGAATATTCCCACTGACAGCAATAAAYGAAGTTACACATCTTCTTTAGTTGCATAAAAGTTAAGGCTTAAGTATTTACTGGACTGTGGAGGACCAGTGTAAGCAAGGTCATTGCAAACTAGATGATGCAGATGTCTTACRTCTACCTTTGACTAGTAGGTAGGAAAATAGTAGGAAAATGTATATGCACATATAGATTCGTTTACACTTTTATTTTTAATTGTTCTCATTTTATTAACTGTTACACACTTTTATTATTACATGGAATGCCCTGTTTTATGTGGTAGTAGATATATTTCAGATCTGCTTGCTAAATGTTAATTTTCAGTGACTTGTTTCTCTTAAAGGTGTTATTTTGGAACATATCATAAATATGTTGATAAAACAAAATATCATAAATAACATTTCATGCATATAGTATAAACTGTCTCTGCTGCGAGAAGATCTGCTTTCCTTTTTCCTTTAATTTCTCATCTTTATTTTCTGCAACAGTTAGGGCTTCTTTATTTGCTTAACTGTTACACCACTTGGTACGTATATGTAGCTGACTTCTTTAAGCTGTTAGGTTAAGCACTTCAGAATACAATATTCTCCAGAATATTGTATCTTACTTTTCTGTTTTTGAAATACTCTTTTGTGCCTTTGCAAGATAAGAAACCAGATAGATTCCTACCAAAACATAGAATTCATTGTAAGGGGGCCACTCAAAACCTTCCTTATTTAAGTCACTGTAGGCTTGACTGAGTAAAGTCAGAGTGGCAGCTCTTAGGGGCCAGCCCTAAGTGCAGCCACATGTGCCTTGGGTGGCTCSTTTGCAAGGTTGCTGCAACGTTCCTCCCTCAGGGCCGTGCTGAGGTTTCCTTGGCTGGGCTTCCTTCCATGCAGCTGAGGCCATGGTGAACCCAGCAGGAACCTTGGGCTGCAATGCCCTGGCCTTCTAGGAATGGGTGAAGCAGAGCAGGACATGGTAGACATATTAAAATTGATACGTATACCATGAGATCTGTAGGCAGGATGACATTAATGGTTCTCAATGAGCATTTTACTTCTTCAGGGTAAGGGGAAAGTAATGAAAAAAAAAATGTTGGTTGTCAGGTTTGAGAAGCATAGCTGGAGCACAAAGCAAAGAAAAACYTCCTACCTTGTCGCTATACACCGTGACCTTCAAGATCAAATATGCCCAGTTCATCTCTTGAGACCCATGCACAAATAAATTATAAGTTATTATTGCACTCATGTATGYATTTCTTTCTGAGCAGATCATGAATGATTGCTACTTTGATTCAGGGTCACGAGAATGAAAAGGTTAAGAAATGGTCTRTTAGGATTAGGAATTCCTTTCTGAAGCCAAAAGCTGCATTAATTTAAATGAGATTTCCAGGCTGAAGGAATGCCTGCTTCTCCTAGAGTGTATGTTTGCATAAATCTTAGATAACTTCTGGCAACATTCACCTCAGTGATGCATGCAAATCCGGAGCTCTTACCCTGTGCAGAGCTACAACTGATATTAGTGAGAGTATTAAGTAGAAAAAGAGCAAGGATTTTCACAGCAGAGTACTTGAAGCAGAATGATTTAGACTTCTGTGCCTGTTGATTGTTTTCCATCAGCTTTCATGACAAGTTTAGTCACTCGAATCGTCACACACCTTATCAAATATTAAGCCCAACATTTGTCTGTAATCATATGTGACAAATAATTTTGAATATGTGGTTGGAAATACTTTTTGTATCTGTTTACAGCCTGTACCTGAAACCGATGAATAATTTGATAGCAGCAACCATGTTAATAACAATTAGTTTGTGTAGCTGGGTATTAGGCAAACTCTGCAGAGCTTTACTTTATGCTCAATTCTGAAAAGCCATTCTATAAAATGCTGACATGGTAATGCTCCGGTTTCTTAAAACAAGATTTCTGGGCCCATTTAGAGGCTGCATTTCCCCTGCAGTGAATTTCTTATCACAGTGCTTGTTTTATGTATTTTATCCCCATAACTAAGACTTGGGACAGTGGGTTTCTTTTCTTACAGAACGCTTGCCTGAAATAAAGATTATGAAGTCAAATTAATTAACAATCAAGACTAATGCAAGTCAGTCTCCCAGCATATTTTCCTCTCAATGGTGCTCTTACAWAGCAACTGTCAATGTACATCTCAGCATGTTTAGTTATGGGACTAAAGAAAACCATTCTGTTAATACTGCACAGGGACTRCAGTTCTGCCAGGTCTGTTTTACTTATAAGTAACCTCTGAAATTAGAATAGGAAGAACACATTTTATCAAATACGTGGTTTTGCAGACACAATGCAGTGAGTTATTTGGAACAAAAATAAATGACCTTTTTGGTTTTTTTTTTTTTTTTTTTTAGAATAGACCTTTTTAAAAAACAAATAGAAATTTCTAATTTTGTACTCAGCTTCATTAATGTCCATTATCAGCCTTCTTAATGACATGGAATAATTATTAAAGCATAGCAATCATTTATTTTTCAAAATACTAGAGATAGTAAGATCTCTTTTTATTTTAAGTGTTGTATTTTCATTATGCCATTACACATTGATTGCCAAGTATAAYGTGGCAGTGTCTTTTTTAAGAACTGAATGTATGTGTTTGTAAATCCATCCAGGAGAGGAACTAAATTAAAGTGCTTCTCAGTTAACAGTGAGAAGCTTCTATCTCAACAGCTTTTAACGTGCTTTAGCAAGATTATTCAAAACTCACAACAGAATCACATTTGTGAAGCTGATTATTTTAAGTTAGGGATTTCATGGACTGAGCTAAGTTCATGAAAACCTTTAGAGATTTTCCTCTGCCTCTTGACATGACTAACCTTCATGTCATCATATGTCATATAGAAGAAAATGAATTCCACAACCACCCCCTAAGAACAAGTGCGTGTTTTCTTTTTGCTTTTGTTTTTCTCTTTGAATTTGCTATACAAAAATTGCTTTAAAATAAATACATTTCTAAAAATGCTGGGTTTCATTTTCATGGCAGTCGTGAAGCAGATGATTAAGTGATTGTTTAACCATTTTAATATTTGCCTTCTATCACAGAAGCAGCCCAAAGCAGCTGCAGAACATTCCTAAAGCTAAGCCAAAATATTGTGTTTTCTGTTTAGGCTAGGCTGCTGGACTCTTTAGGTTCAAATTCTAGCTTTGTTTTCTGTTTGCTATATCTGATTCTTGATGCCATATGGTTTATCTACGTATTAGGTTTCCTAGCTAGCCAGCTGCTGAGAGTTTAAACACAACTTGGGAGAAGATTTCTTGGAATTHTATATCTTGTAATGTAAAAAATGCTTATAATAAAGAATGTGTTGTGACTGTCTTTTCCATTAGAAATTCTTTAGGGGTGTTATTATGTAATTCAGGAATTCTGTATGATACCAGATATCCTCTGTCTGTAAAAGTTGAGTCTGAGTGCAAATCCTTATTTTTCCTATGGGATTTGTTCATACTGTGAGTCACAGAATGTTTCCATATCGAACTAAAAGCTGACAAAGGCAACAGGAGACATTCCTGCTCCMGATGCGAGACTAGAAGTTGAGAACTGCTGAACTTCTCCAGTGTGATTTTCTGGTGTGATTGCTTTAGTACTTCCCGATAGTCACCAAACTATATATTTTTTTTTATTATTATTTTTTTTTATTTTTTTCCAGGATGGATGTTTTAACACCTGTAGTGAGTTTGCACCATTTTAGTGTTTTAATATTTGCCTGGGCAACGTTCAGATACCCCCTTTTGGTCACAATTATTTCCTAGTGTCAAGTTCAGGAGTGATGTAGCGCGAATGACGAGGCATCCTGAACTGAAATGGTTTATTTGCTCGAAAGGAGCAGGTTGAGGAATTTTTTCATAGAGTTTCTTCTACARGACAAGTGAGGTTGAAATCCCTATGCCTTCATCTGTGCAGCATTCTCAACATAAGCTTTGAAGGGCCAGACGCTGAATATATATAAAAAGACTTGTGGAAGATCTGTGTTAACTTTCTAATAAAGTTTAACTAAATGCTGACAAATTAATCATTCCAATTCACAGGAAAAGTAGACAATTTGTTACTGAGTCCATGCTAATGAAAGTAAAAGGCAAAAGAGTTACAAAAGGACCCAAAGTGGAACATTGACAGAAGCAGGACCAAAATACAGTCTCAACTGACTGTTGTCTCTTATGATCAAATTATTACTTCCCCTTATTACTTGAGTCTAAGCGGCTGACACTATGTTAGCAATCCCACATTATCCTCATAACTAAAAATTGGATTACTAC